ACAAAACATTGATTTTACCTAGGTTTTGGAAGGATTTTGGCCTCAAGAAGGGCCCAAGAAGCGATTCGAGGCACTCTAGAGGGGCAGCGCTAATTGGGGACCCCCCCTTCTTTGATAGACCTCCTCCAAGATGGCCCCAAGAGCGCCTCGAAGGCTCCCAAGAGCGCCCCAAGAGCGCCCCAAGAGGGCCCCAAGAGGCCCCAAGAGGCCCCCAAGAGGCCTCCAAGAGGCCCCCAAGAGACCCCCAAGAGGCCACAAGAGGCTCCCCGAGATACGCAAGAGGCCCCCGGGACCGCCAAGAGGCCCCAAAGACGGCCCAAGAGGCCCCCAAGCTCGCCATTGTCCTCCTCCTCCTCCTTTTTCTTCCTCCTCCCTCCTCCCCCTCCCCCTCCTCCTCCTCCTCCTCCTCCTCCTCCTCCTTTTCCTTTTCCTCCTTCTCGTCCTCCTCGTCCTCGCAGTCCTCCATCTCCTCCTCCTTATCTTCCTCCTCCTCCTCCTCCTCCTCCTCCTGCTCCTCCTCCTGCTCCTCCTCTTCCTCCTCCTACTCCGACGACGACGGCTCCTCCTACATCCTCCCCCTCTTGGGGTATATGGCGGCTCACCCCGCCCTCTGTTCTTCTGCATGCTCCCCCGCTTCCCTCATAACCTCCACTCCCCTGGGACTCATTTCTGGACGGGCTGGTGGGGATACGCGAAGCGTCTAGAATTAAGAGAACCATTGGTTCTTCATCATGTTTATCAGATGCGACCAAGCGGCACCCCAGCGCGCGCATGTCAAAAAGTATTCGAACGCCCTTGCGCGCGTGCTGGGGCGGGGGGGGTAATATCCCTTCCAAATAATACCATGCGGGCCACGCGCGCCCGCCGGCCGCGCGCGCATGACAAATCCTTTCCAAAACCTTCATCACCGACGCATGGACACCATCATCGTCACCAGCGTGATCAGCATCGGCGCCGTCATTCGCCTTGCCGTCATCGTCATCGTCGTCACCAGCGTCGCTGCAATCACCATCGTGTCTGCAATTGTCGACGTCGCCAAGAGACCGCGCCCACCCGAGTCACCAACTCGCATCGCAGTGCCCGCGCATCAGCGCGGCATATTAGACGTGCTTGGAAGCCCCCAGCGGTCAGCGCCACCGAGCGGCCGCGTCGGTCGCGCCAGACTGGCTGGCCGCTTTGCGCGCGAGCGTGCGCGCTAGCGCGGCCGCAACGATGCGCCAGCCAGGCAGGCATCACAATTGCCGCCTCATGGGTTTTGCAAACCAAGTTACGGGCGGGCGGGTGAGATGACTGCGCGAGCAGTGGACTTGACAACTCAATGCAAACAAAGGAGATTGCACCACACATGTACTGCACCACACAATAATCAGGCTAGAAACACACTGTTTGGGGCCCACGGTGGCTAACATGGATTCCCAACCTTCCGGCGTGTTGGGTTCTTGTTTTTTGTATAAAACACAACTGTATCCAATCCTTGTCCTCCTCCTCCAATCCTCCTGACTCCTCCTGCGCTGCTCCCTGGGTGGCTGCGAACTGCGCACCTGCCACCACTTTCGTGGGCTCCTGGGTGGCACAGTGGAGTCGGGGAATGAACGGATCCAGACTAAACCTCGCAGCTCCCTGGGTGGCTGCGAACTGCGCAACTGTCGCGATTTGTATGGGTTCATGGGAGGAAGGGCGGAGTCGGAGAGCAAACGGATCCAGACTGGACCTCGCAGCTCCCTGCGTGGCTGCGAACTGGCACGTATCGCCATTTTCGTGAGTTCCTGGGAGGCCCGGCGGAGTCGGGGAGCAAACGGATCCAGACTAGACCTCGCAGCTCTCTGCGGGGAGCGAACTGCGCAACTGTCGCCTCGCCACTTTCGCGGGCTCCTGGAAGGCACGGCGGAGTCGGGGAGGAAACGGATCCAGACTGGACCTCGCAGCGCCTGGGTGGGGGCCACGCGCACCCAGCCGAGGCTTCGCAGCTCCCTGGGTGGCTGCGAACTGCGCAACCGGCGCCATGTTCGTGGGCTCCAGGCTCCCGGGATGTCCAGCGGAGTCGGGGGCCACGTGCACCCAGACGAGACTTCGCTGCTCCCTCATACGGGGCCCCGGGGGGCCCAGACCTCTCGACGACCTCTCGGGAGCGCCCTTCCACGGCGGCCCTCCTCTGGACTGCCCCCCGGGAGCCCCAGAGCGGCCTGCGGGGGCGGAAAGGCTACGAACGCCCTCCGCCCGCCTGGATGACCTCAAGACGTCGTCAGAGCTCTGGGGGGGGGGGCACGGTGTTCTTGACCAGGGCTGGACCTAAACGGTGCTGTTCGTTTTGTGCTCGTTCTGTTGTTCGTTTTGCTATACCTGCTTGCCTGTGCCTCCCTGCCGAAGACGAGAAACAAGACACAGCGGAAATCCAGCAAACGGCGTTTAGGTGCAGCCCTATTCTTGACTCGCAGAGAAGACACAAGACTGCACGAACATGATTTCTCAGAGGTCCGCGCGGATTTCTTGTGGCTCGGCGCTGGACCCCCCCTCCCTGGCGCGCGGAGCGCGCCTGGGGCGGCGCCCGAGGCGCCGCCCCAGGGGGGCCCAGCGCAGACTCAGGAGATCCGCGCCGAATTCCGAACGCTTACCCCGGGATTTGGCCATAAAAGGGGGGGTGGTCTGACTTGGGGGGGGGGTTCTGATTTGAGCTGTCCTGGAGGGTGACACTGGGGCCTCGGCACAAGGCCGCCCTTTCATGGCTGGTCTGGGAGGGGATCCAAAATTGCTCGCCTGGTGTGTGTGTGTGTGTGTGTGTGTGTGTGTGTGTGTGTGTGTGTGTGTGTGTGTGTGTGTGTGTGTGTGTGTGTGTGTGTGTGTGTGTGTGTGTGTGTGTGTGTGTGTGTGTGTGTGTGTGTGTGTGTGTGTGTGTGTGGTTGTGTGTGTGTGTGTGTGTGTGTGTGTGTGTGTGTGTGTGTGTGTGTGTGTGTGTGTGTGTGTGTGTGTGTGTGTGTGTGTGTGTGTGTGTGTGTGTGTGTGTGTGTGTGTGTGTGTGTGTGTGTGT